GTGAAAGAGGGTGAAGGTTCAGGAGTTTACAAGAGAGAGAGTCCATTCAAAAAGATAAAGGAGTGAAGGAGCCAGAGTGAAGGAGCTTGCCCTTCTTCTTTTCTTACTTTACTTACTATTCAATCTGTCTCATGAATCGAGAGTTGAGGATTGATTGACTGTTCACAATCACTGACGGGAATAGAGGTGAAGGAGAAGAGAAAGAATAGTTCCACCCTCGCTCGGGAAATGAAAGAAAATAGGCAGAGGTGAATGAGTTTGCAGTTCAATCCGTCTCATGAATAAGGAGTGGTTACAGGAGAGTCAAAGAGTGAAAGGTGAACAATCACTGACTGTTCAGTCTCATTCTACTTGAGTCTTGACTGACTGTGAAGGATCATTTTGTCTTGCTTTCTTTTACTCTTGCTTGAAGGATTGAATGAATGGGCTCTTCTGTCAGCTAATTCATCTTTCATTTGATTCCCCCTGAACTGTAAAGTCTCATTAATCTTTCATTCTCTGATTCTGAATGAATAATAGGGAGAGGGAATAGAGATTCGTTCAGTAGTTCTGTCTCATTCTTCTTCATCCAGTTCAGTAGCTGATCTTTCTTTCATTCTCTGATTCTTCTTCTGATTCAGTAGTTCAGTCTCTTTCCTCTCCCTTCTACAGTTACAGTCGGTAAAAGAAAAAAATCAATACTTCTTATTTATTAATTAATTATCATGAACCTATTTATTCTTTCACTGTAAACTCGGTTCATTCAGTAGCTCTTTGATCGAATTTGATTCTGCTTGAAAGACTCTTCAAATGAAAGAAAGATCAGCTCATTCACCTTCCCCTGAACCAACAATTCTGTTTCGATCGAACCCCCTTTCTCTAATAAGTGGAGGTCTTCGTAAACATGTTAAAGGGCTAATCTTATCCCCGTAAGTGAGATGAGGGTACTCTACTTGTTTGAACTCTACATGTGAGGCCTTCTCTCTCTTTCTTCTGACCGTCATCAGTCTTTTCTTCTTTATTAGGAAGAGATTGCAGCAAGAATTGAAGAAGAAGAAGAATGCAGCTAAACCTCCCAATCCAAGAGCCATCTCTACTTCCTTTTTTCTTCTTTCATGAGGATCAAAGGGAAAGGGGTAATCCTTGATGCTTTCATCCATCCTCAGAATAGCACAAAAAAGAGTCCCCTTCTTGGTATCCATAGGAATCACAGAGAGAAGAAACCCAAAGGTCTTGAATTGCCACCAATCAACAATGTGAACTGTTGAGCCCTGTCTGTTAGAGGCAGAGAAACCAAGAAACATGCATTCAATCTTTAAATTGCTTGGAGAGGTAAATTGGGAAAGAAGAGGACTTGTAGGCCTAATCGACGAGTACCCGATTCACACCTGGATCATTTTCATTGCATCTCTGTACTCAATCCAAACCGTTATCTGTCTACCACTGGTCAAATCAATCCCCCTTTCAACAACATTAACGGAAGCCAAAGATACTCGCTTATATACCTAGATGATTCCCATTGATGTCAACAAGCGAAGGGTCAAACTGGTATCAAATTCCACAGCGATGAATGAATCTTCCCCATCCCATCTAAGGATAGTTCTGGGAGACCCATATACCCTGGAAAGAATCCGCATTAGAGGTGATCAGAAAGGCAATCCCATCTACAGAAGGACACAGTGGGGAAGATAGTTTTGAGAAGGAGAAACGACATGAGAAAGATGCGGTGGAGTTCGTCTCGGAATCAAGAAACCGAATAGGGTAGACATAAAAAGCTCTGCCCACGCCTGAAGTAGAGGAAGAAGAAGAAGAGAGGGACTAATTGAGTGAGACTAATGGCTTTCTTTCTAAAGTAAGCATCACCAAAGAGGGTGACATTCTTTGCAGGCAAGAAAGGTGTACAAAAGCGTGGGAATACTGAAGATGAAAAAGAAAAAGAAATGGCTCCGGAAGAGTCAAACAATAGGAGAATGCATTATAGAGTCACAAATAGGAAAGATCACTGGGTAGAGACTACGAATTAGACAAAGAGAGCTCCTTCGGCTGAGAAACTTGTAGAAGATCAAGAGTCAAGAGATTTTATCGCCTCTTTGATTGGGTCAATCTTCTTTCTCTTGGAAGTTTACCAGCTTGTTTCCATATGGCCTCCTCGTTTTGAGACATTATCACTTTGGAGTGGTTTATCCGTGGACACCCCTAGGCTCTGCTCTCGCTTACTTTCATGTACACTTCTTACCTCTTCCCTACAACCCATGACATACCTTGCTTTCTATGCCATGCTTCCTCCAATACTGGAACAGGGCCTTTCCTTTACTTTAAGCTTAGGCTGACCTGCTTCCGTAGCTGTCCTTCCTTTTCTCATTGCCACTAGGCTCGGGAAAAATACTAGATTTCCGAACCTTTCTTTCCCACCCCATTTAATGGAGGGTTGTAACTGAAGCAAGCACTTGGCTTTATAGCCCTATCACGTAAGGGAGAAGAAAGATTGAATGTGTGAAGCGGGGGGTCAGAAGGGAACTTCTCCCCCTATCTGTCATCTGCGACCAATGCACTCAATTTATCTTGATTTGGGCAGTCACGGGCGGGCTCTTTGAGGTCCTCCACAAATGAAACAACCGCAACCCTTCTTCTTTGTTAGGTTTACCAAGCTTGTTCCCAGCTCTTTGGTAGCATGTTCTTCCCCTTTCTTTTGCTCTCCACTCCCCCCTTCTTGTTGCCTCGAAGAGATTTCCCCTTTGTTTGTGCGAATGAGTAGGTTTTTCCATGTCATCTACCATTCTTTCTGTAGCAATGATCGCTTCAGCCAAATCCGGTACATTTTGCCAACGAAGTTCTTGTCTAGCCCAAGGATGAAGACCGTTCGGGAAGAAAGCCTTCCTTCCCTGATTTAAGGCTTTAAGGCTGCAAACACTGAACTCTGTTTTCCCTCTTCAGGCACTAGTCTTCGCCTCAACGGATCTCCGACAACTCAACCTCACTCCTGAATGGTGGCTTAAGGAAGCAAGGAGGCTCGTGGAACACAGTAAGATAATGTGACAGATAGCTAGACATACAACAGGAAAACTAAACTAAGAAGATGGATAGACGGTTGTGAGAAGAGATCACTACTTTATGCTGCTATACAGACCATAAGAACAACAGCTACTGCGCTACGCTCATTCCTAATCGATTTGTACCATACCAAAATGCAAGGAGGATGTATAGCTGATTGACTTAGAATACCAAAAGAAGAAGGAGCTGAAAAGCTTTTAGTGGAGGAGAAGCACTCGTAGTCCTCTTGATATATACGCATCGCATGGGGCTCCCTCAGAACTACCTACCTCCGAAAGAATACATGACGAAGTCAACTACCCCTCACTACAACATAGTTGCTACAACATTACATGGTAGTTGGTACTCCCGGAACGGTCCGGGCCTTCCTCTATTCGCTTTGCTCATAGCGGACCGGTATTGAACAAGTGAAAAACAAGGAAAGCCTCTTAGCAATACAGTGCAGCGCCTACTTACTAACAGCTTTCGAGCCTACTGTCCTACATATGCTTCTCTCTCCTTTACAGTCGAGCATATTCAATCCTCTCTCGCTCTTCAAGCCTAAAAGCGCTCTCGAAATTAAGCACCTTTCCAATGCCTAATGCAGCTCTAGTTGATGCGATAGTTGCAGCTCCTTAATGCACTACCCTGACTTGGCACTTGACTTAACTAACCTGCCTTCGAGACAGAGTGATGGTGCCCCCCCTCATGAGCAGCCCTTACCTGCCTTGAACTACAGGAGCGGCATACACACATATGTAAATCAGGCCTTTTCTCGAGAGTGATTCTAGGCCTTAGTCAAAGAATTTACTAAATACTAGAGTGCTGCTACAGGGAATGCTACCTTGACCNCTTTACCTATTTACCGAGTGAAAGAAGGGACAAGACAAGTTCAGAAGTTTCTTTCATTTTCTCTCCTGTCAAGGTTCTTCAAATAGCTTTACCTCCTCAGGGCAGGGAATATCGGAAAAGAGTGTTTGAATCATCCTACAGTTTACCGAGTGAAAGAATAGTTAAAGAATAAAGAGGAGCGAGCGCAGCAATGAGACCGTCAAATAGCTTTACCTATTTCCTTCCCTTGTGTTTGACTGAAATGACCCTAAAAATAGGGAGAGGACAATCAGTTTACAGTTAGGTTCCGGCTCAGGAGAAAGAATATGTATGCTTTCTTTACCCAGTTCCATCAGGGGAAGTAGTTCAGGGAATAGAGGTTCAGTCGCTTGCTGATCTTTCTTTCATTCTCTTTTCATTCATTTACTGTGAAAGAAGGGAAGGGAATAGAGTAGAGGTTCAGGATCAAGAACCAACCAAACACCACCCATTCTATTTACCGAGTTCAAGAATGAATAAAGAGGGGCGAAGCAACGAGACCGATAGGGAGAAGAGCCAAGCCGAGGTTCAGGTTTCTTCTTTTCTGACAGATCCGGTGAAGGAGTGAACTCGAATCAATCAAGAGTCTTTACAGGAGATTGATCTTTCATTTTCTTAGTTTACAGTTCAAGGAGAAGAGAAAGAAAGAAGAAAAACTCAATTCAGAGAATAAGGAGCACACAGAACAGACCGAGTGTAAAGAAAAGATCAGTGAAAGAATAAATCAAATAGGTGGAAAAGGAGAATGAGTGAAAGAAGGTGAAGGAGAACAGACCGAGTTGGATAGGACAGAAGTAAGTAACCTATTTACCTAGTTCAATCTGTCAAAGGTGAATGAGTAAGTTAAGTAGGCAGAGGAGAAAGATCCGTGAATAAATAGGTGAAGGAGAGAAGCCGAGTCTTTGAATAGTCTTTCCCTCGCTCAATCAGTAAAAGAGTTCCATCAGGGACAAGTTCAGGAGTGAAGGATAATTCTAGTTGAGTCTTGACTTTCAACACTTTCTTTTACCTTGTTCAATCAGGTTCGTTCATGAGGTTACAGTAAAAGAAGGGACAAGTGATTGAGTTCAATCAGGGAGAGGTGAACAATCGCTACAAAGAAAAAGGGAGAGGACAATGAGACCATACAGAATAGGAAAAGTAGCTCTTTGTCGGTTTCTTCTTCTTTTCCAGTTCAGCGAGAGTCAAAGAGTGAAATCAAGGCTAAGACAGAGAGGAGGTAGAGGTAACCAACCTTTGAAGGAGTGAAATCAGGGACGGACAGTAAATTCATTAGCGGCTTTCTTTCCCTTGGTTACTGTGTTTGACTTCTCCTTAATGCAATAACTGCACACTTTGACGTATAATTAGATTCTCAGATCAAATCTTGACTTCCTTAATGAAAGAAGAGATGAGAGACCGGCCAATAAATAGAATAGGTTCAGGAGAGAGAGGGGAAGGATCGATCATTAATCAGGGAATAAGGTAATCTCAGCCTATTTACCTTATGTTTGAAGGGACAAGTTCAGTAGCTCAGTTCGTAAACAAGAATGAATCGAGAGTCTTTCCTTCCGAATTACCGAGTCTTTGAATAAGAAGGAGCCGGAGTGAAGTTCGTTCAGTTTCATTCATCTGGCTTGATTCTTTCACTGTAAAGGCTATTAGGATAGGGTCCGGAGTGATAATGAATGTTGAGGATTGACTGACGAATTACCTCGGTCAATAAAAGAGCTACTTCATGAACCGAGGTTACAGTCTTTGAATAAATAGGTAAAGGAGAATGCATCTTGAGTTGAGTCTTTGTTTACAGTTCCGGATTTCATACTCGAGAAGAGAACGAATGAATTTCATATGCTTTGTTTACTGTTCAAGAATAACTCACAAGATAAGGATCCAGAGAAGAGCCAGAAGGGGAAGGAGTTCATTCATTTAGCTTTACCCCGAGTGAGTGAAAGAATAGTTCAATCAAGGATCAGAGAAAGAATGAATCTTGAGTCTTGCTTTCGTTGAGTCGTAGTTTACCGTTCAAGCAATCAGGTTCAGGAGAATGAATATCTTGTTGAGTTTCGTCTTGAGTTTACTGTCTTTGAAGGAATAAATAGGGAGAGGACAGAAGGATCATTCTTGTTGAGTCTTGACTTCCAGGTTCAAGAGTGAAATGACAGAATAAATAGGGAGAGGAGAAAGAGCAGTGAAAGAATCCATAGGTTCAGGTTCAGTAGTGATTCAGTTTACCTCGTTCAATCAGTCAAAGGGAAAGGGTTGAGTCTTGCTTGACTTCCTGTTCCGGATCATTCATCCTTCTTACAGGCAGGAGAGTCAAAGAGTTTAGGTTCAGTAGTTCACTCTCATTCTTGGTGAGTCTTGACTTGTTTATTACGAGGTTCAGGATAAAAAACCAAAGAAAGCTAGCTAAGGAGCGGCGAAGCAGACTGATAGATAGTTTACGCGCGAGGTGAGGGATAATCTTGAGTATTGATCTTTTACAGTGTTCATTCATAAATAGGAAAAGGAGTGAAGTGAAAGAAGGGACAGGAGTTTACAGTGAATCAATCAATAGGTTCCGGAGTTAAGGATAATTCTGCTTGAGTTCAGTCTTAGTTTACATACAGTGAAAGAATCAATCAATAGGGAGAGGAGTGAAAGAAGGATTGAAGGAGAGAAGCTGATAGTTTACGAGGTTCAGGTTCAGTAGTTCAGTCTCATTCTTCTTTCGGTTTTGTTTACAGTTCAGGGAGGGAAAGTCAAACAAAGAGTTCCATCCGGAAAAGGAGTTAAGGAGAATTGAGTATTGATCTTTTACGGTACAGTGTGAATAAATAGGTTAAGGGGAAGGATCCGAGAAAGAATAGTCTTTCCCTTGTTCCATCTGTCAAAGGGTGTCGGGTGTCGGTTGAGGCTTCCTTTCTTACAGGGAAATCAGGGACAAGTGATTGAGTTTACCGTACTGTGAAAGAAGGAATCGGAGAATGCTTTCGGCTTTACAGGCAGGAGAGTAAGTTAAAGAAGGGAGAGGCGAAGGAGCAGAGCAATGAGACCGCTAGGCTCAGGAGCTTGACCTTCTTCTTTTCTTACAGGCAGGATAGTCAAAGAGTTCCAGAAGGGAGAGGAGTGAAAGAGTTTACCGAGTCCGAGTTTACTGTTCAATCTGGCAAGGCAATAGAGGAAAAGGAGTTCCATTAGTCTCATGAATAAGAAGAGTCTTTACAGTCGAGGAAATGAATTAGCTGCAGCGAGACGAGGAGTGAAAGAAGGAAAAGGGTTGAGGTTCAGAAGTAGCTCAGGCAGGGAATAGAGTATAAGGAGTTCTAAGGAGTTAAATCAGGTTAATCAGTAATAGTACTGTTCTCTCTAATAAGGAGTTTCGGCTTTACCTTGGTTCCAGTCGAGTAAATGAATTGAATATGTATGCTTTACCTTGTGTTTGAAGGAATAAATAGGAAGAGGGTATAGGGACAAGAAGTGATTAAGTTCCATTCGTCAACTCTCTTTCGGCCCTTGCTTACTGTGTTTGAATAACTCACCTTAACAATAACAGATTCTAATATATAGAAGAGGTTCATGAGTTCGGTTTCTTCTTCGTTTACTAGGAACAGAATAAATAGGTGAATCAGTCAGGAGTTTACCGAGTTGTATCGGTTCAGGAGAATGAATAAGGAGTCTCCCTGAAAGAAGAAAATCAATAGGAATCGGAAAGAAAAGAAAAGAGAACGAGTGAAAGAGGTCAATCAGGTTACGGAGAAAGAATATGCTTTACCTTACCTTGTGAAAGAATAACTCACAACACAATCACTTCCTTCTAAGTAACTAACAATAAGAAGAATTAAGGAGAAAGATCAGAGCTCAGATTCCCTACTACAGGTCAAGAAGGGAAAGAACAGAGAAGATACCGTAAATAAAGGATAGGTTGGTTCGTTCAGGGGCCAGGATCAAGAATCAATCAATAGGTTACGGCGGAGTGAAGGAGAATGAGTGTTGAGGCTTCCTTTCTTACAGTGAAATCCGGGACAAGTGATTGAGTTCCGTCTCTAGAATCTATCTTGAGTTGAGTGTTTACTGGTCAATCCGGGAATAGAGTAGAGTATAAGGTTCCGGATTGAATGAATTTCCTCCCCAGTAAAGGAATGAATATCTGATTCTTCTTCTTTCTTTCCTCTTCCGTCTCTAGAATCTTTCGTTGAGTCTTTCAAAGCTAAAGCTGCTAACTCCTTTATTTATTCAAAGACTGTAAACAACTATCATTCATCTTTAGTCTGTCCTCTCCCTTCTTTCAAACAAAGACTGTACGGATAGTCAGGTTGAGTCTTTCAAAGCTGCTACTGCTAATTCATTTATTTAATATCCCTTCTAGAACTGTATAGGTTCCGGTTCAGGTTCTTCTTCTAGCTTGACCTCCAGAAAGAAGGTGAGGGAATAATAGAGGGGCAGGTTCAGGGTTAGTTAAGGTTGAGTCTTAGTTTACAGACAGTGAAAGAAAGGAGAATCGTCCTGTTTACCGAGTTCAATCTGTCTGATTCATCTTTCTTCTGAAGGAAAAGGAGCCAAGCTGCTCGACCGTAAAGTAACAGAAGATGCTTTAACCTATTTATTACCGAGTGCAAAGAAGAAAGAGGAGAAGAGCACTCTCTTCCATCCTTTCATTTGTTTACAGTCGAGTAAAAGAGTGAATGAAAGAATCATCCTCCTCTCCTGTTTCCCGCCTTCAATCAGGTTCAGGAATCTTCAGTCTTTGTTTACAGTTAATAACGAACCATACAGGTAATGTAATATCGATCGGAAAAGCAGAATGAGTAAGTTAAGTAGTGAGAGGAGAAAGATCAGTTCACTCTAACGAATAAGGAGAGTTGAGTCTTGAAAGCAAGCGGAATATCAAACAAAGGAAAGAACAGAGAAAGAGAAAGAAGTAGTTCACCCCTTCAGTCAGCGAGTAAATTAATTAGCAGCTTGACCTCCGAGTCAAAGAGTGAAATCAGTCATAAGGGTGTCGGTTTCGTCTTGACTTCCTGGCGAAGTCTCATTAAATAAAGGGTCAGGAGAATACTGACTATCTATTTACCTTGTGGAAAGAAGGGACAAGTGATTGGGTTCAGGGGAAGAAGGGGGTTTGTTTCTCTTGAGTCTTTCCTTCTAAATTGAATTACCTCGTTACATCGGGTTCAGTAGTGAAGGAGCTGATCCTCCAGGTTTCCTTTAGTCTTTACAGTCGAATAAATTAACAAGAACTGACGGGAATAATAGAGTCAAGAAAAGGCGAAGGAGCCCTTAAGAAGGAATCGGAAAGAACCAAGCAAGCAGTTTATAGAGTTAGAGCCGAAGGGGAGCCAAGCTGAGGTTATTTAGTTATTGAGTTTACCGAGTGAAAGAAGAAATAGGTGCACCAGCAAAGCAACTCGACGAGAAGAGGAGTGAAGGATCAAGAATGTTGAGTCTTGACTTACAGTGAGAATGAATCTTGCTTGAGGCTTTCCCTTGGTTACTTTGAATAACGAACAGTAACGGAAGGGAAGGAATAGTCAAAGAAAGATAAGGAAGGGGAAGGAGCGAAGCAGCTGGCAGGTGAAGGAGCTAAGCCACTTTAAAGAATAGGAACAAAGAGGAGAAGGAATCGATAGTCTTTCCTCTCCCTTCAATCAAACAAAGACTGTATAGGGTCGGTTCAGGTTCCTTCATTCATTTACTTACTCTCCTTCCTGAAAAGCAGCTAATTCATCTTGAGTTCAGTCTTCACTTGATGAATAAGGATCAAGATCAGAGAAAGAAGGTGAAGGAAGTAGTTCAGGCAATGAATGGGTGAAACCGACAGAATAAATAGAGGGAGGAGTGAAGCAGTTTAAGAAGGTGTAGGGGCAGGTGTAGGTCAGGTCATATCGGTTCAGGTTCAGTCGCTTCTCTTTCTTGACTTTCTCTTTTACCCCGACTGTAAATGAACAAGAACTGAAGGTCATATCGGGGAAGTAGTTCAGGAGAATGCGCTTCTCTTTCTTGACTTGACTTTGTTGAGTCTTTCAAGCGAGTTAAAGAATCAATAGGAAAAGGGGCGAGGCCACGAGACCGAGTTCAATCAGCCGGAGGGTTACGATCATTTGTATAGGGAAGCAGCTTTACCCACTGGTTCAGGATCATTAATCTTTCGTCTTTCAAGCAGAAAAAGAAGAAGAAGAAGAACAAAGAACGGACTAAAGCCTCAAAAAGAAATGAGATAGTTCCACCCCAGTCTTTGAATAAATAGGTGAAGGAGGGAACGGGAACGATCATTAATCTTTCTCTTTCGTCTTGACTTCTGAATTACCGAGTGAAAGAGTGAAATATGTCTCATTCATCTTCTCTTGCTTTCTTTCGTCTTGACTTCCGAATTACCTTGTGAAATCAGGGAGAGTCAATTCAATCCTCAGCTGCTTTACCTCCGAGTAAGTGAAAGAATCATCCTCCCGTTTACCTCGTTCAATCAGAGTCCAATGCAGGGTTGGTTACTCTCAGAGCTTCTCTTTATCTCACTGTAAACTCTCTTTCTTTCATTCTCTGATTCATTCATTCACTCTCATTAATGTTGAGTCTTGCTTGAGTCTTTCCTCATTACCTCGGTCAATCAAAGAGCTATTCTATTCATTCTATTTACCTCCTCGTAAAAAAGAAGGTGAATGAGCGGAGCAACTCGACCATAAAGAATAGGTGAATGAG